CATCGATTTCCAGTCCCTTCACGTTACTCCGATTCCAAAAATACCCATATTGTGGAGTATATGACAAAATTTCCAAGTTTTTATGTAAACGGAAGTCGCCATCTTGGATTTAAAAATGGCGTCAGTCATCGATTTCCGGTCCCTTCATTTCACTCCGATTCCAAAAATACCCATTTTGTGGGGTATTTGGCAGAATTTCCCAGTTTCCCAAAATCACATAAAAAAACTCGTTTTTTGGAATTTACTTCGTAAAAAGAGAGACGTAAATTGAATACTGCGTAAAAAAAGACTTCGTAAACGGAGGTTTCAGTGTATAAGAAATCATGGTATCGTGACAACGGAAAACTGCCGAGATCTCAAGGATAGAAAATTATTAAAGATTCTAGACATTGAAACATTTTTAAAGTTCTAGAACTATAAAAATGTCCATGATTTTAAACTTGAACCATTCTCAATATTTTGAGACAAAGGATTTCATTTCAAACATATCGGATGTAGGATTAAGATAGATTTTGAAGATTAATTAAGTTTGGAATTGCAGATCCTGGGTTTAGAAACAATTGCAAAATTCGAATTTATTTTCTAAGATCTCGAATTCTTATGGATTAAGACCGATTTTAAAGATTTGAATAGTGGTTCCTGGATTTAGAAAGATCTTAGAAGATTTATTAGGATTCTGAGCATTAGTCACAGCCATTTACTTTCAAAAGAATGTTTGAGGATTCTAAGGCTTAGATAAATATTGAAAGTCCCAGAACTAAGATTAATAAAATAAAACAATTTAAGAAACCCAAATTAAAAAAAAAATATTGTTGATCTCGGACTAAGAAACATGATGAAGATCCTAGACATGGAATTTATTTTCCAGTGGTGAAGTGGTAAGCGTGATTACCTTTCATCCCAGCAGGCCTGGATTCAATCCCAGTCTGCGCCGCCGGCATATTCTGAGGCATAACATCTCTGATCACGCCTTCCTTCGGTCCTCGGTTCATTAGTTGATGGGTCGATAGGGTGGGTCCAGATGTGGGAGCTGCCTCCCTGGCGTCGGTAGCGTTGGTGCTCAGCACGGAAAACAAGATCGACGAAAAACTAATCAAGAAAAAAAAATTAAAGATTGTTGTGAAGAAAACTAAAAATTTTGGTCTTAACAAAAATTTTAGAGTCTGGGACTTAGTTCAACATTGAAGACTTAAGAATTAAAAATAAATTCATAGAAAAGTTTTGATAATCCTAAACTTTAAAAAAGCTGCATATATTTGAGTTTGAAATATGATCAAGAACCTGTACATAGGATTTATTTTCTGAGATTACAGGACTTCAATAATTTAAAATTTTCAAGCTCTGGAACTCCAACATATTTACGATATGGCAGACTTGGACAAATTTTAAAGATCATGGACTGATCAAAACTTTTAAATATTCTGCAGAATCTTTAAGATCTTCAACAAAAAAAAAATGCAAATTCCAAGAACTAGAAAATTATCACAATAAATTAGATCTAAAATATCTTACAGATACATTCAAATTCCCGAATTTTCTCGGATATCGTAGTTCAATGGCTCCCTGTTCCAAAATTGAATTTGAATTGTATGTTGAATTGAAATTTCATGTTGGGATAGCAGCTTCTACCGACAGGTTCAGTAATATTATTCTTTTCATATTTACCTTACCAATCAGGCTAAGGCCCGGATGTCCTCTGCTGTCTGAAGAAGTCGTTTCCACTCTACTCGATCCATGGCCACACGTCACCAGCCTCGTAGGTTGCGAAGGGTCCGCATGCCCCTTCTACTTGGTCGATCCACCTTGCCTGCTGCGCACCTCTTTTTCTTGCTCATGTTGGGTTGCTTTTGAGAACCATTTTCTCTGGGTAATCGTCCGGCATTCTTACAACGTGCCCAGCCCACCATAGTCACCAAATTTTTGCAGTTAGTTCCCCCAGTAGCTGGTGCAACTCGCGGTTCATTCGCTTCCTCCACGTTCCGTCATCCATCTGCACTCCACCGTAGATGGTACGCAACACTTTCCGTTCGAAAACACCAAGGGTTAGTTGGCCCTCCACGAGCAAATTCCAGGTCTCGTCTCGTGGCCGTTGAGAACAGCCAGTTTAATCAGCGTCTTATAGATAGTCAACTTCGTGCAACGGTGAATTTCATTCGACCAGAGCGTCCTCCGGAGTCCATGGTTTGCACTTTTCCCTGCATAATTCGCCTTTGAACTTTTCTGCCAGTATCATTTTCGGCGGTCACCAGTGAGCCCAAATACACGAACTCGTCGACCGCTTCCTCTCATGTATTTCGTCTTCGATGCGTTGATGGCAAGTCCAATCCGCCTAGCTACGCCTTCAGTCTGATGTACGCTTCCGACATAGTCTCAAAGCTCCGTGCCATGATGTCGATGTCATCGGCAAAGCCAAGAAGCTAGATGGACTTCTTGAAGATCGTGCCACTAGTGTCTTATCCAGCTCTTCTTATCACACCTTCTAACGTTTATTCATACTTCAAGGTTAAAGTATGAAAAAATATGAAAATTGTGTAGGTTGCAAAATTATACCCCCCCTTCCTTAGTTTGTTCCTCTGTTTCCACTGGTATTCAGGTTGCGATCAATTTGCGGTTCAAGAAGATTCCTCTCAAATTTTTCTTCACGATTGACAGGATCCTGAATTTGCAAGCTGACTGACATTTTGGGATCAGCATGATCAGTAAACTGATGCAAAATTTGAAATTTTCGTTCCACAGAGCTCGAACGGTTCCAAATTGGGTCCTGATTGGCCGTCCAAAATTTGAACTCAGAAACTAACTTGGCAAAAACCATTTGATGTTTGTATGGAAATGACTTGTTAACGGAAAACCAATTTTTTGTTAAAATCTATTTTAAAATTCACCATACGGCTCTGCTTTAAAAATTATAGCTATGCTAAAAAGATTTTCTCAGCTACAATTTGTTGAAGATTACTTTTCGGTAAAATGTAAGGAACAAAAGTTATTATTGATTGAAGTCAATAATGCCTTATGCTTATGCTTGATCAACTCGACAGTGAGCGAGCATGCATAAGGGCGTAAACGCGATGATCGATTCTCTTCTTTTGTCAATAACTCGCTAGAATTTACATTTCTCGGTGCGTTTGCTGTTGCTTTTGATAGTCAATACAACCTGTTACAACTCTGCATTGAACACATTCTAGAAAATTGTTTCGCTTAGCTGTAGCAATGCAAAGATAAAATCCAAAAAGAGAATCGATCATCGCGTATACGCCCTTATGCATGCTCACTGTCGAACTGTTCAACAGGCAACATTGGTGTTTCTGGTGCGTATAATAGAGCACAACAATCATGACTAAGTAGCTATGTCACACTGCAGAATACAGTGTTGCCCATACAACAGTTGCTTGATCATGCCATAAGATTAATAATCTCTGAAACAATGAATGACTTTATGTTTGACTGAAAATCGATCTTTTGTAAAGTTGTAGATGAAAAAATGTCTAATATGAATAGCTAAAAGGGCTACTTTGAAGACAATGAACAAAAGTTTGGTTTTCCCATAGTAATTTCCATCTAAACATCAAATGGTTTGTGCCAAATCAGTGTCTCACTAAATGAGTTCAAATTTTGCGAGGATTATCAGAACCCAATTTGGATCCGTTTGAGCACTGTGGATAGAAAATTTCAAATTTTACGCCAGCTTGCTCGCATTATGTCAACCTTTAATTCATGCTGATGGTGATTTTTGTCAGCAGAAACATTATCAGCGCTAGTGAATGAATTGGTCAACAAACGGCTGATTCTCCTGAAAGCAATGCCACACAGCACAGGTCGAGGAAAAAGGCAAAATTGCTGGAGCATTTTCTCTTAATCTTCTGCAACTTCCAAACTGATCCTGTTAAAATCGAAGGCATTTAAAATACTAACCTAATTTTCTATAACAGTATATGTAACTTTGTATGACTGGTTTAAGTTGTAAAGCAGTTTACCCGACATAATTCTATGAATTTGTGTTACTTGAGTAAAACAGTAACTGCATTGATTCGTAATTTAACTGCCGTAATAATAGTATTGACGTGTTTTGCATGTTGGACGTTTAGATATTGATTTAGATATTCTGAGAAGAGTTTCAAAAATATTTAGCGGAATTATATGGAGAATACAAAAGGAATTTTGAAAAAAAAAAATACTAATCTAACTATGATGTTATTTTGAAAGTAAATCAATGGAAATATGAATCTGGGAGCTTAAAGTTAATCACTAGAAAAAGCCCAAGTAAAATTCTATGGTAGCAAAGGAGCATTCCTAGGTAATTTTGAGGAGGATCCCAAGCAACCTGTGCAAGATTACTTAATGAATGCTGATGAAAGTTCCTACGGAATTTACAGCTGACTTCTGAGGAGGCAAGGCAATTTTAAGAATAATTTCATCGATTTTCTCAGGTTTTCTAAGAAAATTTTCAGGAATATTCCTAGCAAGTTCTGGCAAGGATAACTGATGAATGGGAGAGAATTATTGAGTGATCTCCAAGAGTTTGCCGAAGGTAATTTCTTAATCACTGTAGCATGTTATATATGAATCCTTCGATTAGTCTTGGGAATTTTGGCCATACTTGTGAGATGATTCGAGGGTTAAGAGCAAACTCTACTGATAACCTGTGAAGATCACGGTGGCTCTGGTAGATCAACAATAATGTGAAAAAATCAGTATTGCTTAAACACCCATCAAACCTAATCTTAGGTGCTCCTCTTTCTTTTGAATTTACTTGCAAAATGTGATATCAGGGGTCACTTTTCCATACATTTTGGGGCTTGAAAAATATGTTTAGAAAGTGATTTACACTTCACTTTTCAGCATTCGTCCACTCGATTTCAATGAAGAAACAATTTCCTGGCTGTCATCTTTTCTAATCAGCTCATAAGCTCGGTGTCACGTGTTCACTTTGTCAGGCCCATAGCTTGCAAATAGTGGTAGGTTACAACCGAGATTAATATCGCTTTTTGTGGCAGGAATGTTTCTCAGGAACTAACGGTCAAACCATAAACAACTTATTCTAGCGCGCACTTAAAACAAATCCCATTCATCGTCGTCGTGTTCAGAACTTGCCATTTATTATTGAGAGTACTTGTGGAAAAAATAGAGACATAAAATGTACAAAAGACATCCGAATCAGCTCGAAGTCTCCGATCCATATCGGTGGAACAAGTCTTCTTGTCGAAATCGGTTGAAGCAATCCATGAGAGAAGCCATAGTTGGGAGTATTTGAGTAGCACTGCGGTTTAAGTTGAAAATGCTGAATGGATTATTCGGACCCTGGAGCCGCTGCCAGGTTCAACTGCTGCTGCGACACGGAATGTCCTGGCAGTGGAGCGACGTGAACGGATCCTCGGGTTGCCGACACGGAGGTAGCGGCCGGGACAGGGCCAGCGACAATCACAGCTGGCGAAAGTGGTGCTGGAACGACGAGCACCGTTGGAACTCCATTGGCATCAACCGTAATGGCTGAGCCTGGTGCTGGCAGTAAAAATGCTGGGGGTGGATTCGACTGAATAACGGTGGCACCGGGAATGGCTAGTCCTGCTGGAGCAGGGATGGCCACAGGTCGTGGCCAGTACCACGAAATCACGGATCCTTCCGCGGCCAGCGAGAGGGCAGCGATGACTAGGGCTACGGAGCACTATAGGAAATGTTTTTGTTTTGTTATCCTGGAGTACCTAATAATCCACTGTGAAGTCCTTGAGAATGCTCACCTTCATCTTTGGCAGTTGCTGAGTTATTGCAAAACCGTGACTTTGAACGCGGAAGCTGAAAGAACTGTGACATCGAATCGAGCAGATCTATTCGTTTTTATAGCCGGCTGGATGAGGTTCTAGGTGTGCGGAGATGATTTCCATTGAAGAAAGGAGATCTACTCGGGAGACGACCCGAGGCCGGTCTGGCGTGGGTACGGTCCGGTCGAATAAATTACGCGATGCAACATCTAACGCTGGCTCAAGTGCGGGGAAAATTTCATCAGCAACCAAACCTTGAGGTCTCTTCTGATCTAGGTCTTTCATATGTGCGGGGAGTGATCGTTGAGACGAGGGTGAATTGCTAATGGGGGTCGGAATTTTTGCATTAAATTACTGGATAACCCGCACGGGATCAATTCATCAAACCGGGCGACATGACAGCCGTGATGCATTAATGAGGTAATTGATACATCTATTTAATCGGGATTGCATCTGTGAAGCGATGCTGTCCATAGAATGATGCGATTGGCATGGTATTTGTGCTCATCCATATCGATCGAGATGGGTTTGGTCTGCAACAGGAATGATTGCAAGGATGAATGAATCCATAGTTGTGAGTGCAATATTTGCAACTTTTGATCTCGTTTCCGAGGACGCAATTTACGTCAAGCATGTCGTTATTCAAATTCGCATTGAATATAAATTGGAGCTGTTAACAAACGTAATAGATACCAGCACTTGCTGATCAGCTGATCAGCTGACTTGGTATGTGGAATGGATGACGTCAATGCAATGTGGCTACATTCTCGGTAAAAGAGTTGTATCGAGTGCTTGATGAACAATAAATTTCCTATCAGACGTCAGGCATCATGAGGCTAAGTATAGAGATCATGGTTACTCGACCAGAAAGGAATAACAAAATTATAACATAATGATATCATCTTCTGTTATGGTATACATGTACTTCTCTTAAGAAAGCAAATAGCGTAAAGGATGTATTGGACGTCCATCCATCACTGTCATTCCCTACAAAAATCCACGCGATTTGCCTCAGATGAAAGGCCGCAGCACCAACACATTCCATATTTCTTTATTTTAATAAAGTATAATGATCACTGATGGTAAAAAGGAGCTGATCATGATCGTGAGGCACGGCCGTTTGTTGTAACAGGCAAACGTCACGTGGAATTTGGGGCAAATGCGCACCACGGTATTCCCTGAAACGCCGCTTAGCATATTAGAATTAGTGAATCTACATATCAGTACTGTACGCTGATCACCATTTGCTATGCAAACATGCCTCACATAACAAAGATTCAATCAGCACCCTTGAGTTGGAATTAACATATAACAAACACATAAACAAATGTTTGAAAAATATAGCTGAGAGACAAAAGGTTGAAAGGGACAAAAGCTGATGTTAATACATATTATGAAACTAATTTGTCATGACTTCAAATAAATTCTCAACAGAAAAATATGGTTTATACTATTTTCCCATCAACAGCATTCAATGTTCATTCTTTGAAAATTGTTGTTTATTGATTTTGCTGTAGTTTTAATAAAAAATATTATACATTCAACATACTTAGTTTTTTTCTACCGAGCTTGGCTGTGCAAATCTCGGCAAAAAAAGTTTTACTGAGATTTCAGCAAACATTTCATTTGTTTGCTGAGATTCAGCTGAGCATTATCCGAGACTCAGTAACGTTTGCATTTAAAAAATGGACAAAAATTGTCGATTTTTCATGGGTTGACATTCACCCACACTGACGAAACTACCCATGCAGCATCAATCATAGTAACCCATGAGTCAGCAGACAAAATTTGACAGCTCAATCAGTCGAACTCTAACAGTGAAACAAACAGTGAAGAAACACCGTTCAGAAGTGTGCACGTTCAAAGAATTGCACCCCGCCGCGTCGAAAACGGACATCGTGCGGCACTTTGTGGACGCCGGATACGGAGGGTTCCGGCATCTACAACATCTTGGCACTATTATACAACAATCAGAGCATCGAAAGAAAGCCCGGTTCCAGACGGCCGACGACCGTGAGCGGCAAGAAGCTCCAAAGGGTGTTGAAGAGGAAGACCGAGGGAAAAGTGGCTACTTCGCTGCGTGCGCTTGGCCGGGAGGTCGGTGCAACCGGCCAAACAGTGAAAAAGTACCTGTCGAACATGAACATACATGTCGGGAAGCGGAAGTCACGTCCACTGGTTTCGGAGCTGCAGGTAATGACGCTGCGACAGCGGCTGAATACGATGATCAACTCGTTTTGCCCGGTGATTCGCGACGTGGCGGTGGTGATAGACGACAAGACCTATCTCACCCTGGATGGCAACGACTGGCAGGGCACTTCGTATTTTACTTCCCCCACGAAGGAAGTGAACTCCGAGGTGAAGTTCATTTCACAAACCAAGTTCCCCAAGAAGGTGCTGCTGTGGCTGACAATCAGCGAGAAGGGGATGTTAAAGCCGCTCTTCTTTCGCTCCGGACTGGCCGTGAACGGGGAAATTTATAGTACGAAATGCCTGCCGGAAGTTGCGTCGTTCATCAAGAAATACCATAAGGGCGAAGACGCGGTGTCCTGGCCGGATCTGGCGTCGGCCCACTACTCGAAGCGATCGTTGGAGGAGATGGAGCGGCTGAATATCGATGTGGTACCCAAGTCGGCGAACCCGCCCAACGTCCCCCAGCTGCGTCCCATCGAGAATTTCTGGGCCAACCTGAAGCGTAAAATCTACTCCAACAATTTTGTCGCGAAACTGAGGAGGAATTGATAAATAAAACGAAAGAAAGAACTCCACGCATGTTTTCGTCCGCCATGGCGAATGTTCCGGTTAATTGCCGGAAGGCCGCTCGCAACGGCGTAGAAGTTTTTTTTTGCAATTTAAAGGGTGTCCACGATGAAATTGCCACACACAAAATTGATTCGCAAAATTCGAGTTTTCATCCGATTGCCATCAAATTTTCAGGGATTGAGAAATAACTATTAAACTTCATTTTATCATTTTACTCGTATTTTATTTACAGTCCATACGCAAATGCCCGCACCTTGCCCTTAACCCCGGCCATAAGATTCTGCACAACCTGTGAATCAACCGTTTTTTGCATGTAAACCCATACTTTCTTCAGTTCCTCGACTGTCTTCACTACCTTAGGTCGTTTAAGAAGGTGCTGCTTCATAATCGCCCAGTACTTCTCGATGGGGCGGAGCTCCGGAGTGTTGGGAGGGTTGAACATTTTCGGCACGAAATTGACCTTATTGTCCGCATACCACTTCAGCACGTCCTTGGAGTAGTGGCATGAGGCCAAATCCGGCCAGAAGATTGTTGGGACGTTGTGGGCCTTCAGGAGAGGAAGCAGCCGCTTCTGGAGGCACTCTTTTATGTACACCTGTCCGTTCATCGTGTCCTGGGTCACGAAAGGTGCACTCCGCTTCCCGCACGTGCAGATGGCTTGCCAAACCAGGAATTTCTTCGCAAATTTGGACATCTTCTGAGTGCGGACATGCTCCGGAACGCTGAACTTATCCTTGGCCGTGAAAAACAGGTTGCCGGGGATCTGTTTGAAGTCGGCCTTCACATATGTTTCGTCGTCCATGATGCAGCATTCAACTTTCGTCAGCATGTTGAGGTACAACTTCCTGGCACGGGTTTTGGCGGACTTGTTCTGCTTCTCGTCGCGATTAGGGGCCTTTTGTACCTTGAACGTTCGAAGCCCAGCCTTAGTTTTGACCTTCTGGACAAAACTTCGGCTTAGGTGCAGCTTCTTAGCCACATCCCTAACGGAGGCGTTCGGATTTCGGTTGAAGGCCCCAACTACGCGGTTGTGATTTTTGGTGTTGTACGGAATACTTTTTCCTTCACTTCTGGGCTTCCGATCGGTGGTCAACCGTTCCTCGAACCGCTTAATCACTCGCGACACCGTGGAATTCGCGATTCCCAACGTTTTAGCGATGGAACGATGCAAGAGATCCTTGTTCTCGTGATGAATGCGCAAGATTTTATCACGCACGAGCTGTTCTTTCGACTCCATTTCCGCGAGTTTTGATCACAGGACTTTAAAACTTGCAGGATGTAAATAATGCACTATGAACTAAATCCACCCAAATTTTCATTAAATTCTACCCAACGGCTAAAAAGTTAGAGCAATTTCATAGTGTGGCAATTTCATCGTGGACACCCTTTAGCTTAAATAATTACCTTTGATGGGAAATTTATCAAAAGAAATTATATGTCTTAGCTTTTTTATCACCATCCGAAAAAAGTTCATTTTTTTTAATGCAAACGTTAATCAATTGTCACTTTTGCTGACATCTCAGTGAAAATTATTTTTGCCGAGATTTGAACAGCCGAGCTCGGTAGAAAAAACTAAGTGTGTACACTTCTTTGAAAGTTTAATCATGAGAACTATTCGAGATAATGTAAATGAAATTTGCAGTTAATACTTTGAGATTTTTAAAACACACTTCGAACTATAGAAAACATGTGCTTTAAGGATTTGAAATATTGAAAAAAATCAAAGTCTTATAAATATATTAGATTTTTCCATCTCTTATAAATAATTAGTTCTTTCGAAAAAAATCGACACACTATGATAATACATAAGAATTAAATATTTTTCATACGTTTTCTCATCTTTTAGAGCACCGCCGCCACGGGAGGCGCTATATTCTTCTTCTTCTTCTTCTTCGCATTTCAAGCTTATTGCATATAGCATATTAGCTTATTGCGTGCTCTCAACTTAGTCTTCTAGATGCACTTCCACAGTTATTAATTGAGAGCTTTCGATGCCTGTACCATTTTTGCATTGGTATAATTGTGTGGCAAGTCCGATCATACTTCTATACTCAAGTCGAGAAATTTTCCAACCCGAAAAATTCCTAGACCGGACCGGGAATCGAACCCAGCCACCTCCAGCATGGTCTTGCTTTGTAACTGCACCTTTACCGACTGAGCTAAGGGAGGCGCTATCTCTATCCCTATAATAAGGCTCCATCTAGGTAGCTATTTTAGCATAGCAGCCCATTCTTCCACCGGTGATTCATGTTGGTTTCTATTTTAAGTTTA